AGTTAATTTTAAATGACATTAAAATCTGTCAAAAGTAACTTGAAAAATTAAAACTATGTGCCAGATTTAGTTATTAAAAGATATGCAAAATCTTAGCAAATTGAATCTGGCATTATATCCAATAAGCATATAAAGTTTACAGAGTATACATAATGTACCTATGATATGCAATGATAAAATAATTAATATATAGTATAATACGTTTTTATATTATATACATGAGAATAACTAAATAGGATCTATTTTATATATACCAAAATGGTTCAATACTGGGAAATCTTTTACTATCAACTTGGTTAGAAAAGGTAAAAAATAAAATTAAAATCCTAAACTTTGTAGCAACCTAGGAATAGAAAGATATTTCCTTAACTTAGAACAGAGTATCTACCTGAAATTAATATCCAAGAGTATGTTAACGGTGAAACAAGAGAGACAAGTCTATTAAAATTAGAAATAAGATTTTTTTTTTTTTTTTTTTTGAGTCGGAGTCTCACTCTGTCACCCAGACTGGAGTGCAGTGGCCGCTGCCGGCCACCACAGCCTCAACCTGCTGGGATCCGGCAATCCTTCCTCCTCAGCCTTCCAAGTAGTTGGAACTACAGGCGCGCGCTACCATGCCCGGCTAATTTTTTGATTTATTGTAGAGATGAGGTCTCGCCAAGTTGCCCAGGCGAGTCTCGAACCCGCGGACTCAGACAATCCACTCACCTCAGCCTCCCAAAGCACTGGGATTACAGGCTGAGCCACCGAGCCTGGCTAGAAATAAGATTATTATGCCTACTGCTAATGTTGTTGTTTAACACTGAACTTAAAAACTCTAGCCAATATAATAAGATATTAATATTGAAGAGAAAAAAACACAATTATTTACAAAATGATTGTCTACTTGAAAAACAACCTTAATAAATACTTAAAAATATATTTACCAATCAGTGATAAATGAGCATACCAATAGAAAAATGAGCAAAAGTCACAATTTAGTAATTCACAAAGAAAGACAAATAAATGATCAACAAGTAAATATTCTATATTGTACCTGTCAGATTTAAATAATCAATGAGATGCTTTGGGTAGGGGGAAAGAGGCCCTCTCATATTCAGTTATTCATAAAACGTACCAATGTATGCACTTAAACATTGGCAATATGTTTTAAAAGCTTTAAAATGTACATAACCTTTTACATTGTGATCCTATTTCCAGGAATTCAATATTTAGATAACAATGGTTGGGGCAGACAGAGTAGAATTATGGTCAAGGATGTTCATCATTATAATATCAAAAAATATTAAGACAACTTACAATAGTTAATTCACTGAACACATTATGATACGCTCATAAAATATTACATAACCACTAAAATGATTACGAAATGCTCATTTTTGGATTGTTCACAGTCTATTCTGAATGGAACAAATATCAAGTTTCAAACTCATATGCAAAGCATTCACCCATTTTATATACGGTATTAACTTTTTCTCTAAATACATAAAACATTAGCATATACAAATGTTAATAATTGAGTTTATCTCTGAACAAAGAAATAGGATTTTTTTTTTCTTATTGTATTGGGATTTTAGATCTGGAACTGTGAAGAAACATGGCGAGTTGTAAAGTGAACAGCCGCAATGGGTGATTTAAATACTTTCTTCTGTTTGACTTTGTGTTCAGAGGGTCCCAGTGGGCACAAGACAAGCCAGGCCCAGCTGTCGGCTCTGGTTATTGTCTGCTGTAGATATACAGTGGCTGGCCTTAGAAAGATTGCATAACCTCAGCTTTCTCAACCAAGAAGTTGGAAGAACAATTGTACGACACTTGGCAAATCTTAGACCTCAAAAAGAGACAGCTATGAAGTTACCCTGATCCTCTCCAAAACCGAATCTGAATTTGGTCAAGCTTCTAAATCCAACTGCTAATTTACAGAAAACAGAGGAAGAACAACGTTTTTGTATACCCCACAGAGATAGAATCAGCAATATTCCGACGGTGAGAAACTCTACTGGACAAATAACCCAGCTCTTATAGCAAATAATTCACATAAAACAAAAAAAAAATCTAAAAGTACATCACACGGCCAGAGGCAGTGGCTCACTGTTGTAATCCCAGCACTTTGGGAGGGTAGGAGGGCAGGAGAATTACTTGAGTCCAGGAGGTCGTGATCAGCCTAAGCAACATAACAAGACTTCTAAAAAAATTAAAAATTAGCCGGGCATGGTTGTGCATACCCGTAGCCCCAGCTACTCAGGAAGCTGAGGCTGAAGGATCACCTGAGCCCAGGAGCCATGATCGTGCCACTGCATTCCAACCTGGGTGACAGAGTGACACCCCAATTCAAAAATAAAAAAATAATAAAAACACATCGTATCAACCTATCTGACTGTGTCAGTTTATCTGGATTGTTATTCAAACAAAGTATCTTGTTAATATGGTGGCATTGAAGAGAAATTTGTGAATTTAAACACAGTCTATATATTAGATGATGTTAAGAAACTATTAATTTCTCAGGTGTTATAGAAATATTGTCTTGATATTCCTTCCAAAGGGTCCTGTAAGAGACACATTGAAATATTTACAGATATGATTATAGGATTCATGGAATTTGCTTTAAAATAATATTAGGGAAAAATAAAATAAAATAATATCAGGGGAAGTGGATGGAACAGGATTGACCATGGGTTCGATGGTGGGTATGTAGAGGTTGAGCACACTGTTTTGTCTACTTTTGTGTTCATTCAAATTTCTCCATAATCACAAAAAGGTTATTTTTTTTTTTTTGAGTTGGATTCTCACTCCGTCACCCAGGCTGGGGTGCAGTGCCATGCTCACGGCCACCCCAGAGTTGACCTGCTGGACTCAGGCAATCCTTCTGCCTCAGCCTTCCAAGTAGCCGGAACTGTAGGTGCACATTACCATGCCCAGCTAATTTTTTGATTTATTGTAGAGATGGAGTCTTGCCAAGTTGCCCAGGCTGTTCTCAAACCCATGGTCTCAGGCAATCCTCTCACCTCAGCCTCCCAAAGTGCTGGGTGACTTGAGCCACCATGCCCGACCAAAAAGCAAATATTGTTTCCATTTTTATGATGAAGCAGATGGTCTTGAATTATAAATTTGCAAATAAGAAAGTAGGAATCTCTGCCAGTGGGGACTATGAAGGTAAAATGTCAAGGCCAAGTCAAGAGGAAATTCAACAGCAAAACGGTTCTTCTCTAATATGTCAGTATTCCCAACATATTAGAAAACTGAGGTAAGAAATTTGGAACACCACCCTCAGACTAAAACTTCCTCCCAGCACAATCTAATTTCTTTTCCCTGAGCAGCTCTCTGGGGGCAAAGAGGGCCTGCCAAGCCATCAGCACATCCCTGCCATGAACTTGAATGCATCAGCGCGTTGTCCAGATTTTCATGGGCATCCATCAGGATGGTAGGAAGGGCTCTCTTGCAGAGCTGTGGCCTTGTGTCTTTGTGCGCATTCACTAATTTGATCCCTGCAGCCATCATGTTGTTCTGTTACTGTTGCTGTTTCCTGTGTGATTGGGCCTAGCGGGGTCACACAGCTAAAGAGGACATACCCCCACATCTCCTTGCCCACTGGGGCTCAAAACCCAGTCACCCTACACTGTGTTCTTTGGCCTTTTCCCACCAGGTGCTGAAGACCTGTGCATCAACCCCTGCAGTCATTGAAGTGCTTTTCAACTCCTATTCTCAGCTCTGCGTGTCAGAGTCCTGGAAGGAGGTAATTCCTGAAGAATTATTTCAGGTAAGGAAGCTGTCTTCCTCTGCCTTTAGTACAAAACGTTCGTCTGTTTCTACTTCTTTGTGTGTGGAGTTTTGCACCCACATCCAGATGAGTATGGGTGGCTCAGCCTGTAATCTCAGCGCTTTGGGAGGCTGAGGTGAGTGGATTGCCTGAGCCCGTGGGTTTGAGACCCACCTGGGCAACTTGACAAGACCTCATCTCTACAATAAATCAAAAATTAGCCGGGCGCGGTAGCACATGCTGTAGTTCCAGCTACTTGGAAGGATGACAGAAGGATTGCTGGAGCCCAGCAGGTCGAGGCTGCAGTGGCCGGGAGCAACTACTACATTCCAGTCTGGGTGACAGAGTGAGACTCCAACCTGAGGGAAAAAAAAATCTGGAAAAGGAAAGAGAAAGGGAAACTGGGGGTGTTCTTGCAGATTTTTTTTTTTCTGGAGACTCAATAATCTTACAGACAAGAGCCTGTTATAATAGTTGGGATGCTATGGGCTGCAAGGAAGAAAAAGAGACCCACACTGGCCTAAGGATTGCCAGAGCTCCCTTAACCAGTGTCCAAAGAAAGGTGGATGTTGGTGCTGCCTGAATCCACAGGCTTCATCTCAGAACATGCTAATCTGGCCCTGTGTGTCAGCTTCAGCTTCTGGAGACTCAAAATAAGACTGAGGCAGCTGTGGCCATTATGTCTATACACAACAAAGTCCATGACTGCCCATTTAGAAAGATCGAGAACATTTTTTTTCCAGTCTTCTAGATTTTTCCTCCTGTTTCATTTACTTGAGTCATGTGCATGACACTAAACACCGAAGCAATGCTATGAGGCTGGCAGAAGGGAAGGGCTTGTCATGACAAGTCCAAAGCTCTCCAGGAAGACATTGAAGGAGTGAACCAGACATTTCCAACCTATATGAACCTTCTGTGTGGCACCTTCACCAAAAGCCAGTGATCCAGCTTCAGGTGATAGTCCAAGAAGCCTGATGCCAGGAATCAATACAGGGTGACAGAATGCCTTCAGCTCAGCCTAAGCTTCACATGGCAAGAGAGATGATCTAGACATCAAGGACTATGTTAAACTTGTGTTAGATGAACTGGGCCAACCCTGGGACTGCAGGGCTGCTGTGCAAAGGGATGGGGCAAAACAAAATTCGAGGACACTACCCGTATTATCTGAAGTCATTCAAAACAGAGACCCCCTCTGACTTGGCAGGAACTGAACTTTAGAAAAATTATACAAATGCTTTTGGTTGAGGATAGCTCCTTCAAAATGGTGCTTCCCCGTCTCGTGTGGTTATCTGGGATCATTTAGCAAAAAAAAAGGATCGATTGTCCAATCAGTGGTCTGGCTAGGAAGAGAATGTGTGTTGGTTCCATGTGCCCAGGTTTGTGACCCGCCTGCCTTTCTTTCCAGATGCACAAGCCTTTCTACCAGTCTCTCTTTGCCTTGGCCCATGCCCCACGCTGCTTACAGCAACTCTGCCGCTGTGCCCTTCGCAAACTGTTTGGCAAAAAGTGCTTTTGCCTGATACCCCTGTTACCCCTGCCAACGTCACTGCAAAATTATCTACTTTTGGAACCAGAGGGTGTTTTGCACTGAAAACCAGAACATTGCAGCCAGCGCTCTTGCTCTTATCCCCGCCCTTCAGTGGAGAGCCCCTTGGATAAAGACAGGCCTGGAGGGGCTCTCCCATCCCCCTCACTGTTCCGAGTGACTGACAGAAGCACAGACCTCACCAAGCCACAGGTCATCTCGAAATAGGATTGGTCCAGCACTTTGGGAGGATTGCTTCAGCCCAGGAGTTTGAGACCAGCCTGGGCAACATAGTGAGATGCCATCTTTACCAAAAAAATCAAACAATTAGCCTGGCATGGTAGCACGTGCCTGTAGTCCCAGCTGCAAGGATTGCCTGAGCCCAGGAGGTCAAAGTTGCTGTGAGCCATGATTGTGCATTCCAGCCTGGGCAACTGAGTAAGACCCCAACTCAAAGAAAGAAGGGAGGAAGGGAAGGAAGGAGGAAAGGAAGGAAAAGAGAGGAGAGGAGAGGAAAGAGAGAAAGAAAGAAAGAAAGAAATTGTATTGGTAATAAAAAGCCCTTTCGGCCTCTCAGAGTTGCTTGTGAGGATCAGGTGAAATCATTACAATTATAGTACTTGGTCTCAGAAAGTACCTTTCAATGAAAGTTAAACTAAAAACTACAATAAGTCCTCACTTAAGGTTGTCTATAGGTTCTTGGAAACCAACTTTAAGCATAACAGTATATCACAAAACCAATTTTCCCATAGGCTAATTAATATAAACAAGAATTAAGTTCCTATGGCATATTTCTGATCACAAAAGCATCACCACACTTTTAAATTGTGAACACTATGTATATTTAAGAAAGATTAATAATAACAAGTAAGAGAATTATTTGCCCAACTTCCAGTGCATCAGTGGGTGACAACAGTTGTCGTGGTGGTAACATCAAGGAAGAATTATTTGCAAAGTGAATATGGTCAGGACCACCTCCTGCCTCCACACAGTTCAGACATCATCACAAATGTGGCTGCTTGCCAAACACTGTCATGCCGTGTTGTTTATTGTCATGATTATCATATGCTTTACAGATTTTTATTTTACAGTCATTTGTGTTCATTCATTCGTTCATTTTCCAGCCCACTTATTCCACGTCAGGCTCGCAGGTGCCCAGAGCCCATCCTGGCAGCTCAGAGCACAAGGCAGGAACCGGCCTTGGACAGGATGCTGTCCCATCACAGGGCACACTCACACACACCCACACTCGCTCACACTGGGACCATATAGATATGCCAACTCACCTCACCTGCACAGCTTTAGGATGGGGGAGGATACTAGAGGACCCAGAGAAAACCCGCACAGATAGTGGCCCTGGCCAGGAATCTGTATTGTTTCTCATCAACATTATAACACAACTGCCTTGAATGAAAAGATATTCGTCAAGGATCTACTGTATTCACATTTTTCCAAGGGTTGTGTCCTGCCTCCAGGGTATTAGCAACATATATGCTGCTCCCCCAGTCTTCAGACTCTCAACCTCATAGAGAGGCCTCTCATCCCTCCTGCAACCCGACCACCTGGAGAGGCTCTTGCCCCAGAACATGACAGACCTGTGGGTTGAGAGAGGACACTTGTGTCCATAGCAAGTACGCCTGCCCTGGGTCTATCAGCTTCCAGTCACATTACAGTCCAGAGCTCCCCAGGAGGACATTGGAGGGGTGAGCTAGACATTTCCATCCTGTATGGGCCTCTGGTGACACTCTCACCAAAAGCCAGTGATCCAGCTCTGAGGGATAGTCCAGGAAGCCAGGTGCCAGGAATCAACACAGGGTGATAGAAGATGCCTTCAGCTCAGCCTGAGGCTTACATGGCAAGAAGAGATGTTCTAGGTATCCAGAACTGCATTAACTTTGACTTTTATGAACTCTATTGTTTTGTTTTGGTTTTGTTTTTTGCATTAGGGTCTCACTTTGTCACCCAGGTTGAAGTACAGTGGCACAATCACAGTTCACTGCAGCCTTGGACTCCTGGGCTCAAGTGATCCTCCCGAATAGCTGGACAACAGGCACAAACCTCTGCACCCAGCTGATTTTCTGTATTCTGATGCTTTGACATCTGGGGCCTTGCTAACTCTGGAGAGACTGCCCCTCCTAGGGTTAGCCAATTCTCAGAAATAGCAGACAACTCGACACAGAGCCTGCTTTTCAAATATAAGCCAACCAATCCAGAGCCCACACTTCAACCACCTCTTTTATTCAGCTCTCACACTCTAGACCACTGTCCACCCCAGAGCAGGTGCTGGACAACTTGGGATGACCCCTGTGCCCCAGAACCTCCTGAAATTATTCTAATAGCCAACTCTATGCCTTACCCTATCTTATCCTTTCCTCCCCCTCACCTCCTGATCGGCCCTGGTGATTCCCCAAGTGTTATCCCCCACCCTCCCTTGTGGAATGGCATGCCCTTTCCTCTCAGAAACAGTAATAAATGACCTTTTCAGTGGCAATAATATCCTGATCTGCCGGCCCTACCAGATGTCAAATTTTCTATTAATACACTATATTTTAATGCAAGGGCCCTTTATGGCTATCCTCTGAGGACAAGCAGTAGCTATCTTTAGTTAGAGCCAGTGGAAGGTTCTGCCCAAATGAACCTCAGAGAGGACTGGGAACACCTTCTGTCTTAGTCCAGTCTTGAGTTTCTATAAAGGAGTACCTGAAGCTGGGTAATTTATACAGAAAATATATTTATTTGTCTCATAGTTCTCCGTGCTGTATGAGAAACATGGCACCAGCATCTGCTTCTGGTGAGGCTTTCAGAAAACTTTTAAACATGGCAGAGGGCAGAGGGAGCCAGTGTGTCACAGGGTGAGAGGGAGCAAGGGAGAGAGGAAGAGGTGCCAGACTGTTTTTAACAACCAGTTCTGGAGTGAACTAATGGAGCGAGAACTCATTACTGCCCCCATGACCCAAAAACCTCCCACTAGGCCCCCTCTAATATTGGGGATCAAATTTCAACATGAGATTTAGAGGGAACAAATATCCCAACTATATCAACCTCCCACTGGTACAGCCTGGAAATAGAGTTCAGTTCCCAGCAAATATCTACTGTGTAAGGTGGGATGTTGTGTGCACCATGAGTGAAGCCCACTGTTGAAGTGAAAAGAGAGTCCTGGCAGGCCCACCCAGTGAGGGTGGGCATCATGAAGGAAGTAGCCAGGCTTCCCCTTGGTGTGTGGTCAGATTTCAGCACAGCAGATCTGCACAGGGAGTGGTAAGACAGCATCCCCCAGCTCCTTCAGTTGACTCACCCACAACCCAGCCTTTGAGATGTACAATTGACCTGTCCTACAAAAGGACTGTGGAAACACAGCTTCTAGACTCCTCCTACCCCCATCCCAGGCAGATGACTCTCTCCAAGCCCCTTCTACCGAGACTTTCAGAAGCCACTACTGCATCCAAAGGAAAACTTGAACAAAGATGGGGTGCAGGAGAATGCAGGGCTCCATAAAGGAATGATGACTTATTCTTCTAGAGGAGAGGGTCCTCACATTTTGGCAGCTGGAAGGAAGTGAGACTAGAGAGGATGAGGGGACAGATCAGGAGGGTCTTAGCTTCCAAACAAGGATTCTGAACTTCACTGAACAGGCTATGAGGAACCACAGAGTAGATGAGTTGGTGGGGCCACAATGGGATGCTAGGAAGCTTGTTTTGTCCTGGAAAGGAATGCAACACACTGGAAGGAGGGCAGCAACCCAAGGTAACATCCTAGAGATGGATTCAGAGCCAGGCTCCTCCACTGAGCAACAAGAATACTTAACTAAATTGGCTCCATGGCTCACCTAGGAAGTGAAAGAATCTGCTTCTCTCTCACCCAGTTAGGAATCAGTGAGATGTCTGATGTGAGACAGGTCTTCTCCAACTCTGAAGGGATATTGTTGAAATGCAGATTCAGCCTCTAGAGGTCTGGGATGGGGCTCAGATTCTGTGGCTGTGAGGACTGGAATATTTCTAATGACCTCGGGGACATCCCTGCTCCTGGTCTGCAGCCTCCACTGAGCAGAGAAATTGCAAAGCCCCAGGCCAAGAACCCAGCTCAGAGAAGGAACATCATAGCTGGTTCCTTCTGTTATTAGGATTCTTTTTATCATTAGAGGAAGAAAACAGCCTAATATTAAAAGAGAGAGACTGCAAAAAGTGGGAAAGAATAGCAGTGTTATGCATAAGGTACAAATGACAAGGGTAAGAACCATACAAAACATATAAGTATGGCAGTCTTTAAGGAGCCCAGTCCTCACTGAATTCTGAACATGGGAATCAGAGCACATGTCCTGTCTTCCACAGCGACACCCTCCACCCTGCTCCACCCCACCCCACCTTAGCAAACAGCTTGACTGGCTTTCTAAAATGCATTAAATTTTAAATACATTTCGAGCCATGAAGAAGCCAGAGCTCTTTTAAAACATATTGGCACTATACTTCTAAATATCAAATAGCTAATAGCCAATTATTAGGTTTCCAAAAACATTTTTCCCCAAATTATAGCTTAAAGACAGCAGCATGATTCTCACGGTTAGCCTCAAAGGTCTCCCCATAGCTGCCTGATATTTTGCCATTGTGGAGGAATTCTTTCTTTTTCATTATCTTCACCCTCAAGAATTTTCCTTAAAATTCAGATGTTCCTGGAAAGAGCTAACTGACGTTCCTGAGGGATAGACCATTCACTTACTTGTTCACTTTTTTATGTTTTATTGTGAATTGTTGTAAAACACATGATATAAAACGTATTAGTCAGGCACGGTGACTCACACCTGTAATCCTAGTGCTCTGGGAGGCCAACACAAGAGGATTACTTGAGCTCGGGAGTTCAAAACCTGCCTGGGCAACATAGTGAGACCCCGTCTCTACAAAAAATTTAAAATTATCTAAATGTGGTGACGCACAGCTATATTCGCAGCTACTTGGGTGACTGAGGTGGGAGCATCATTTGAGCCCAGGAGGTCAAGGTTCCAGTGAGCCATGACTGTGCCACTGTACAGATTGTCCCACCAGCCCGGGTGACAGAGCAAGACCCTGTCTCTA